GTCTACCTATGATGTCAATTACAGGCCTCTCATCTTTTTAAGTGGGAGAACTTGCACAATTAGTGTCTGACTAAATACTTTTTTGCCCCACTGTATCTCCCAAATGGTTGCTTTCTTCCTTTTATTTAATAGGGTTCTTTCTTATCAAGATTCTTCAAACTGGATGTGAGTATTATAGTACATATGGTTTACAGTAGTATCTCCTTGCAAAAAATATATTTGAGCCTATATAATCACTCTTGGAATGAAAAAGAATATCTATATTTATGAGTATGTATTGTGCACATATACTTGTTTTCAATGTTATTCCTCAGAATAACTCTGTAAATATTGGGAGGAGGTAATTATAGGGGCAAACAATTGAACAATTGAAACAATTGAAAGGTCTCTTCTTTTCTTCTCTTATTTGTGTCCTCTTTATGTGTTCAAATCTTGATCCATTTTTTTTGTGTTGCCACAGTACTATTATCTTTTGGTCTTCCAGTTTTTTCTACACTGAAATTATTTGCAATACTGCTTTCAGCATATTTTTAGGACCTTCCATCCATCTCAAAAAAAATTTCTCTGCCAATAATACTAGGTTCTCCTGCCATATAATATTGTTTAATCTCTGCATTTATTAAAATATGCTTTTTGGGGGTTCACAATAAGTAGCTGATTACTCATAAAAGAAAGAAATCTATTGTTACACATTCATTTTATCCCAGTAGTCCTGATATTTTCATTTTATTACAGTGACTTGTTTGATTAGGAAAAAGACAATACTCCTTTTGTTAGTGAATGGAAACTCTTTGATGGGTATAATTGAATGAAATTTACTTCATTCAGTAAATGAACAAATTTATTTTTATTCATAAATAAAATTATTTATTTATGAATAAATTCATAAATAGTTATGAATTATTCTTAACATAGGAGAGTGCATTGTTTATAACTGTCACTGGTTTATGTAGTTTGTTGGGTTTTGTAGTAAATAAGAATAATTCTTGGTTTTTAGCGATGGGTGTTTCTTTATATGGAGAATATGAAATCTTATTCATACAGAACATATTATTGCTGAATTGTAAGCCATTCTTTTGTTTCCTAGTTGTTTTATAAAATGTGAAATTTATTTTGGTCACATATTTATTTTAATTTTAATTGAATAATTTTACTGAACAATACAAATTTTATAAAGGAAAGGAAAATAGAAATGAAAAATAAAAGGGATAAGTAAATAAGAAAGAAAGAAAGGAGAGGAAAGAAAAAAGAACAGGTAAAGCAGTGGCTTCCAATCTTCTTTACAATAGTTATAAGTGCATTTTTAGTTTGTCCTTATTAAGATTACATTGTGGCTCTCTTCTTTCCATATTCTATCCTTTCTAATCATCAAACATTTATTTTTTTCCATTTTCATACCCATAAAGAGTTTCTATTCACTAACAAAAGGAGTTATTGTCTTTTCCCTAATCAAACAAGTCAGTTTTGCCATTTCAGTCAATTTTGTCATCTTCACCAACTATTCTTTCACTTTGGGTATTTCTGCATTTTCCCATCTTTCTTATATATAATAATCTCACTGCAGATACCGTGTACAAACACCGTAAGTTTTTTCTAATTGTCTGTTAGTTCCATCAATGAAAGTTCTGGTTTCAGTTGAATATTAATCTTTAAAATTTTTGTATTGCTATACGCATTTGAATCCAAAATTTATTAGCTTTTTCCAAGTCTTCCAAGCACGCTAAAACAGCCCTTTATATTTTCCATATTTCCAACATAGATTTGAAATACCTTTATACATTCTAGATAGTTTTTCTGGTATTATATACAGTGGTACATCATTTTATAAAAATTCTCTTTTTATAAATGTGAATTTCAGTCATTTCAGCCACATGCTTTCTCTTTGTTGCATCTATATATTATAAACAGTGTCCATTTTATCATATCCTTTTTAAATTGTTTTCATTTCAAATTTTGGTAAAAGCTTATACATTTTAGCAATTAATCAAGAACTGGCTAACCCGTCAGGCCTGGGGATAATCTTATTTCGCCCCTCCCGAATGCTGAGTGAATGTTGAGTTTTATTGTCTAATTTTACTTTGTGCACATTTCTTTTTTTGTTATTGTCCCACACTCCCCTTCCTTCTTTTGATTGTAAGCCGCCCTGAGTCCCCTCAGGGAAAAGGGCGGCCTATAAATAAACAAATCTAATCTAAAAAAATCTAAAAAAAAAATTACATATTCATCATTTGCCCATAATTCAGTTTCAAATTCTGTCTTACATTGTCCAATTTTAAATATGCTATTGTTTATTTTAAATCTTTTTTCTTAACTTTACATATGAAAACCATATCAGAGATCTTACATGAAAAATTAATTGCTATTTGATTTCTGCTGTTGACTTTTTAGACCTTGGTTGGTAGCAATGGGGCCATTTTGACAACTATGCCTATGATGATGGGAGGGCAGGAGAAGATGCCAATTAAACAAGTGCCTAATAACACCAAGCAGCCAGAACCACCAAAGGAAGGAGAAAGGCGAACAACTCATAATATTATTGAGAAGAGATATCGATCATCTATAAATGACAAGATAATAGAACTGAAAGATCTAGTCATGGGAACAGATGCTAAAGTAAGAATTGCTTAGTTGAAAAAGGAAAAATATTTGTAATAACTACAAATCTATTTGTCATGTTTGCAGTTGACAAGCTATTTAATGTTCTTGTTTGTGTCCATTTCCATTGAATTAAATATCTAAATAACAACAACAACATTCTTTGGGAAGGACTCAATAGGTGGTTAAAAATGCCAAATTCAGTCTGAATATCTTACTGATTGTGTGACCAACTATAATTTTATCCTGCCCTTTTTATGTAACACTCAAAGCAGTGAACATATCTAATAACTCTGCTTCCTACTTTCCCTATAACAACAATTTCTTTGAGGTGGATTGATCTGACAGACGGTGGCTGGTTCAAAGTCACCCAAACAGCTTTCATGTTTAAGGGAGGCGTAGAACTTTCAGGCTCTTGGCTTCTGGAACAGCACTACTTGTTTGTTTGTTTGTTTGTTTGTTTGTAAAATGTATAGGCTGTCCATCTTTACCTCAAGGTAACTCTATATGCAGCCTACATACATACACAAATTTAAGAAAAAATTTACTGCTAAATAAAAATGTGCTAAGAGATCATAAGATATCTTTATAAATAATCATATGCATTCTTTTCAGATGCACAAGTCTGGTGTATTGAGGAAGGCTATTGACTACATTAAATATCTACAGCAAGCTAACCATAAATTGCGACAGGAGAACATGATCCTTAAGCTTTCTAGCCAGAAAAACAGTTAAGTGTTTTAAATATTACATTCAGTTGTTTTAATTTAAGTGAAGCAGGTACTATCAAGGTTGTTAATTAAATGATTTCATGCCCCCTTGCATTTATTGATGTTTTTATTGATTATGCTTTTAGTGGATAGATGTAGAATTGATAAGCAGCGGGATTTAATTACTGTGAATAGAATAATTAATCTGTGTGATCTTTTCTCACAGAGTTGTTGAAGGGTTTTGACTTGAGCAGTCTAGTGGACAATGATGCGGATATGAAGATGGACGAATTCAATCAAAATGCTGTATTGATGTCTCCTCCAGCTTCTGACTCAGGATCACCAGCAGGCTTTTCCCCTTATTCAATTGATTCAGAACCAGGAAGTCCATTATTGGATGATGCAAAGGTAGCTAATATTCCTGAGGCAATCTGCACTGGGAAGCATAGACAAGATCCCATTGGTGTGACATGCATGCTCATTCAGATGGAGATATGTCATCTGCTTCCCATTAAAATAGATAATAAATTATTATTTTTAAAAGGAAGGTGAGATTCAAAGCCCAAATATTAATTGATTTTTTAAAATCACACAATGGGTAACACAACTAAAATCAGACACACAAATAAAGGAATATCATAAAGTGTGTGTGTGTGTGTGTGTGTGTGTGTGTACACATGAGAAATCCTGTACCAAAGTCCATTAAAAGTACAATAACATGCTGGACAATATTTTGCTTTATATCAAAGAAATCATAAAGCCCAATAAACAACAACATTCAAAGGGGCTTATATTAACTAGCTTATATTCTGCTAGTTGCCAAAATATTGGAGATATACCATCACTGCATTGAACAGGATATTTGGGGCAAGTTTGAGATAAAATAAAATAAACAGAGGCATCTGCAAAAGAAATGGTATATAGGTAATTTTAGACAAACTTCAAATTGAAATGGCCTGGGATGGATGGATAAATTACAACGAAGATGAAGTTTTTCTTTTTCTTATTTTTTGGTGAGTGTCAGGTAACAGACAGGCATTGTACTTGAATGTAATGAGGACTACTTGTACTTGCATATATGATGTAATGTATCATTAGTTGATAGTGGTGGGATTCAAATTTTTTTACTACCGGTTCTGTGGGCGTGGCGTGGCTTGGTGGGCGTGGCAGCGGAAGGATACTGCAAAATCCCCATTCCCTCCCACTCCTGGGGGAAGGATACTGTAAAATTCCCATTCCCACCTCACCCCACTAACCTGCTTTCCAGCTCTGTTCTGTGCAGGGCAACAAAAGAAGACCCAGCCAATCAGCTGGGACTCGGGAGGCCGTTAATAAATGGGGGCGGGGCCAGCCAGAAATGGTATTTGCCGGTTTCCGAACTACTCAAAATTTCTGCTACCAGTTCGCCAGAACCAGTAAGGACGGGCTGAATACCACCTCTGGTTCATAGATTAGTTCATAGATTGCTTCATGATCTTCAAAAGTGTATTTAGACATCAAAAATCAATTTCATTACATTTGAAATAAAATGTGATTTTAGTAAATTGTAAATGTTTACATTATTTAAGTCTTTTAAATCTACCACTTGGAAAAAAATATGAATAGATCTACATAGTTTCTTTTATTTCCAATTCAGTGACCTTTGGGGGCATTTTGTAATTGTGGAACATTTTTATAAAACAATCTGAGAAGAATAAATCTGCTATAAAGAAGATATTGAAAATTCAGCCTTGTGCAATTTAGAGCAGCTATTTCTCTTAAGTGTTTCAGAAATAACTTCCATGCTCTTCTACACTCATGATTTAGGTTAAAGATGAACCTGATTCTCCACATGTTGCTCTCGGAATGGTTGATCGCTCACGGATGCTCCTTTGTGCTCTCACATTCCTCTGTCTCTCCTTTAACCCCTTAACATCTTTTTTGGATGGCAAAGAAACACCGGACACTTACAGCACAGTGCATCATGGTTCTGACAGGAAAATACAAGCAATAAAACCAGGTATATTTCCAATAGTGCTCATTTGACATTTTTCAAGTACAGGCTTGAAAAATTCAGTACAGTAACTAAATGATGAAAGGGGAAGAAAACAATAAATGATGGGCTGTGGGTTATATTATGATAAAAGGTGATTACAATTTTATTGTGATAATTTATAAATGCAGTAATTGTACTGGATAGTACTATCCATATTCTTATTTCTCTGACTCAGATAATGGGATTGTGAGCCTTTGAGACGCCTGTTTCTTGGTTTCTTTAATGAATTAAAATTTTATCTGTATGGAATGTACACTATATTGCCAAAAGTATTCGCTCACTTGCCTTTACTCGCTTTACTTTACTGTAAGTAAGTCCGTAGGGTTTAATATGATGTTGGTCCACCCGTTGCAGCTATAACAGCTTCAACTCTTCTGGGAAGGCTGTCCAGAAGGTTTAGGAGTGTGTTTATGGGAATTTTTGACCATTCTTCCAGAAGCACATTTGTGAGGTCACACACTGATGTTGGACAAGAAGGCCTGGCTTTCAGTCTCCGCTCTAATTCATCCCAAAGGTGTTCTATCTGGTTGAGGTCAGGACTCCGTGCAGGCCAGTCAAGTTCATCCACACCAGACTCAGCCATCCATGTCTTTATGGACTTTGCTTTGTGCACTGGTGCACAGTCATGCTGGAAGAGGAAGGGGCCAGCTCCAAACTGTTCCCACAAAGTTGGGAGCATGGAATTATCCAAAATGTCTTGGTATGCTGAAGCATTCAGAGTTCCTTTCACTGGAACTAAGGAGCCAAGCCCAGCTCCTGAAAAACAACCCCACACCATAATCCCCCCTCCATCAAACTTTACACTTGGCACAATGCAGTCAGACAGGTACCGTTCTCCTGGCAACTGCCAAACCCAGACTCATCCATCAGATTGCCAGATGGAGAAGTGCGATTCGTCACTCCAGAGAACACGTCTCCACTGCTCCATGTGCTTTACACCACTGCATCCGACACTTTGCATTGCACTTGGTGATGTATGGCTTGGATGCAGCTGCTCAGCCATGGAAACCCATTCCATGAAGCTCTCTGCGCACTGTTCTTGAGCTAATCTGAAAGCCACATGACATTTTGGAGGTCTTTAGTGATTGACTCTGCAGAAAGTTGGTGACCTCTTCGCTTTGCCTCAGCATCCGCTGACCCCGCTCCGTCAGTTTACATGGCCTATCACTTCGTGGCTGAGTTGCTGTCGTTCCCATACACTTCCACGTTCTTATAATACAGCTGACAGTTGACTCTGGAATATTTAGGAGTGAGGAAATTTCACGACTGGATTTGTTGCACAGGTGGCATCCTATCACAGTTCCAGGCTGGAATTCACTGAGCTCCTGAGAGCGACCCATTCTTTCACAAATGTTTTACAACAGTCTGCATGCCTAGATACTTGTTTTTCTACACCTGTAGCCATGGAAGTGATTGGAACACCTGATTCTGAGCGAATACTTTTGGCGAGCGGATACTTTTGGCAATATAGTGTATATTTTACCTGTGCATTATGAGGATTTTATTGTTGTTTCTCTGTGTTGTAGGGCTTTCAGGTTTTTTAATTGTAGCATACATGTATTTGTTATAAGAGATAGATTGGGGTTTTTATTTTGAAAAAGGTTTTGTGATTTATGTAAGTTGTGTATTTTTTTCTGAACATTTCTATCTTATGTAAAATGATATTTTCTTGCATCTATATATTTAGGGCTGGAGCTTTTCATGGGAAGAGTACTATTTCAGGGAAGAATAAATAGAATGAGAAGAAAGCAAGTTGATTAAATTTAGCATGATCTTTACATAATCAATGTTCTCCCAAGAATGATTATCTTAAGGTGTGAACTGTTTTCTTATCTAATTTATGTCTTTTGACATTATTTATTCTGTTAGAATCAGGTGGCTGGTTTGGCTGGATGATGCCCACTTTAATCTTATGGCTTGTGAACGGTATCATTATCTTGAGTGTATTCATAAAGCTGTTAGTGCATGGAGAGCCAGTGACACGACTGCATTCTCGTTCTTCTGTGACTTTTTGGCGGCATCGGAAACAGGCAGACCTTGACTTAGCTAAGGTGAGACAGTTCGTTGCTTTGAAGATAAATGTTATTGTGCTCATTTATTTGTATTGAATTAATTGAAATTTGCATAACCTAAAGAGTGAATATTTTAAAATGTAGAACAAGTTACTTGAGCTACTACTAAACATTTAGGTTTACATTTCATTATTCTACTATCAAAATTCTTGAATTGTGGGTTCTTAAAGCACCTCCCCTTGCATGCAGATCATTTTTGGATTAAACTCCGCTTCTGTTCTATAGGTAGGTAATTTTATAGGGGGAATAAGGTTGAACTCTAGAACTGAAATGAATGATAAAGGTGAGCAGATTTCTACAGATTTTGTTAATTGCATGCAAGCTAAAGGTAATCTGTCCAGTAAAAAGAAAAATATTTTATGATGCTGTTTAACTGTTCAACCTTTGTTTTATGTGTGATAATTTATTTGAACAAAATAAAACTCTACTATAAAATTTGCAATCTATTTGTAAATATAGTTGCAAATGAGAAAGGGGAGCAATATTAATACTGGGATTATTTATATGCTATATATTTTTTTTTAAATGAAATAATTAATTGATGAACATAATAAGCAATTCCTATTGTATTGAAATTAAAGGCAAGGGGATTTTTTTTTAAATTTTGAGTGGAACAGTGTCTTCTGTGTCTAAATGCTGATTTTAATTGGAAAGAGTAAATTATTTCTTTTCCATTGAATATTTGTTCAACTGGACTGAGACTTGGAAGTTTAACTGAACACGACATGAAATCTAACAGGATTTCAAGATAATAAAGAGCTAGATTTTTGGTGTTTCTGACATGTCATGGCTCAAGTAAATTGATGCAGATGAAGAAGAGAGAAAATTGAGAAAAAGTCTATGGTATATTGAAATACGATGGCAATTTAGCTAGTTTATCAGTGGCCAAGGAGACTAAGGTTGGTTTACTAGACTCCAAAATCTGAGTGACAAATGAGGTTATCAAAAAGAATTAAGAAAGCTTAAAAATGAATGAAGGTGGAGAATAAAATATGTATGTATGTCTTCTAAGAAGACTCAGAATAGTCTGAAAATTAGGAAGCAATGCGGCTCTCAAATGTCCACTGTTCAACTTTATCCCATGTTTTTCTTCTTTTGTTTGCAGGGGGACTTTGCTGCTGCTGCATCAAATTTACATATCTGTCTTTCTGCCCTGGGCCGAGCGTTGCCTGTTTCTCGTTTTGACTTGATCTGTAGCCTTTCCTGGAACATTATTCGTTACAGTCTCCAAAAATTGGGATTAGTACGTTGGCTGCTAAAGAGGACATCACAGCGGAGACGAGCAACAGAGACGCCTCTTGGCTTTGAAGATGAAGCCAAGACTAGTGCGCGAGATGCCACATTAGTGTATCATAAACTTCATCAACTCCATATTACAGGTAAATGGGAAAAAATTAACTTAATGGTTTAAAAGGTAAATATTCCCTCAGGTTAAGCTTGATTTCCAATGGCTGCCTACTTTGTGTAGTTTTCTTTGCAAAATAAAGAAAGGTTTGCTTTTTAATTAATTTTACATCTTAGAATCTCCAGAGGGCTCCTTATTTTTGATAATGCAAGATTTTGCACAATAGGGTATTGTGCGATACTGCGATGTATGAATGGTACTAAGTTTCAGTAGCGAAAAGAGCTTTTTCACTTGTACAAGGTGATTCACCACAGGGTAAAAATGATATTTTTAAAATTTCTGGTGCAGGTAAGCTTCCGTCCAGTTCAGCTTACTCAGGATTGCACATGGCGTTGTGTGCTGTAAACCTGGCAGAATGTGCAGAGGAGAAGATTTCACCAAGTACCCTGGCAGAGATCCATCTAACTGCTGCAGTTGGCCTGAAGACTCGCTGTGGTGGCAAGCTGGGCTTCCTGGCGGTACGTGGGTTGTTTTGAACCACTTAGCAGTATAGGCAATCTTCCCTTAACAACAGTAATTGGGACCAGAATTTCCACTGCTAAACAATGCGGTTGTAAAATGTGATGTCACAGTACTGAATCATTTAGTGAAGGCAATCTCATTAGTCTCCATTTCTCTTGTTAAGTGAGGCTCTCACATAACTGATGAGGGAAGTGGCAGGAATCCAGAAGTGCTTACTCATACTATTGAAACTGAATCCCAGGAAAATGGATGGGTGGGCATTAAGAAGTACATGCATGTGGGTAGATGCCATGTGTGGGCCCTATGGAGTATGGGCAGGCATGTGCTGTGTGCAGATGCTATTAAGGTTGTGTGCCATGGGAAGGCGCTACAGAGTATGGGTGTAAATTCTAGTGGCTCCCAATTGTTTTAGGTTAAATACTGTGGCCTATTTAAATTATTTTTCTAGATTTGAGTCTAAAATAAGTGAAAGTGACTTCTGTGTTGGTACATTAAAAATGTCATCCATAGATTGCTAACCATATTGCATGTTTTCTTCTCAGAGTTATTTCTTAAGTCAAGCTCAAAACCTGTGTACTTCTGAGCATAGTGACATCCCTGACTCTTTACGCTGGTTGTGCCATCCTTTGGGGCAGAAATTTTTTGTAGAACGGAGCTGGACAGTGAAAGCTGCTGCTAAGGATAGTCTGTACTCCACTCAGAGGAACCCAGGTGAAGATCAGTGGCTAGAGAGATATTTTCTTTAAGCCTGTTATCAGTATAGTAGCAGTCCTTATGTGTATGCATTTTCTGTCTCCTGGTAGCTTTATACATGCTTTGTTTAAAAACTGTTAATGTTAACAAAATGTGTGAAAGCAATGAAGGGCACAGTTTTCCATAAACCGCAATACAGTTTTCTGTCTAAAAACAAAAAAAGAAAGGCTTACATTCCTGAAGTATTTATTGTTGGGCTTGTGAATAAAATAGTAAACAGATTGTTTTGCCTTTGCATATATAGCTGATCCCATTGCACAGGTACACCAGGCATTCTGTGAGAACCTACTGGAGAGAGCTGTTGAATCCATTGTGAAACCTCAGATTCCCAAAGGGGCTACAAGCCATGATGATGAAGCACCTTGGTGAGCCATATTTGTGTCCTAGTGATAGTTTTTTTGGAGATATTGAAGGATTCTCCTTGTCTGTTCTAACAAAACCTATAGTTCAGCTTTGGAGGAATAAATGGCAATATATATTTCAGCTCTCCATTTTAAGCAATATAGGACATACATACAGGACACATCTATATGAATACTGCTTTTCTCATAATATATCACTTGTATTGCATCCATCTACAGTACTAATTGGATATACAACAAAGTACAGTTTCTCTAAACTGTTTGTCCAAATTGCAAAAAAATGGATTAGCATAAAAAGTATATAAAGTAACCGGTGGATAATAAGAAGGCTTTTTAAAATCATTTGCTATCATTTTCATCCATTGACTAAATTATTTGGGAAGCCCAGCATTATTTAGTTTTACCATATTGGCTACGCTTATCATTGAAATATTCATGGCAAGATTCATCATTATCTCTGTTGGGAGGAAACCATACAAAAAATTGTCACAATGCTGCAAGAAAGATTACCATGGTGAACATTGGTTGCCTTTCAGAATGTGGGTGTGAATGTGATACCTTCTTTGTGCAGAGAGTCATCCTTAAAAAGTGTGTTAAAATACAACTTTAGTTTGTTACGATTCATTGTAAAAATATGATATATTGTTCTAACTACTAAAAGTCTGACTTTGTACTTGCAGTGAATTTGCTAATGCTTTGGAATACTTGACATTACTAAGTTCTTTTGTGGATTCTTTGGGAAGTGGAATACCACCTTTTTCTGGAAATTCTGTCCTGAAGTCTGCCCTAGGTATGTGTGAAAGATACAGGACTTGTTCAGTGGTTTTCTGTCTTCATCTTTCTTTTCTCTTTCCTGAATGTACCTGCACCTATTCAGTGCTCAATTGCTATTTTTCTTGGGTTAAATCTTTTCAATTTTGCTTTTTTATCCACTGTTTAATTTCAAGATTTATCAGAGAGATCTACACTACATATCACTAATAATACATTGCCTCCCTTCAATGTAGTTAACAACTAAACACAACACAAAACAAGAGAAAGATAGAAGGAAGGAAAAAAGCAAACTCAGCATTATGATAATTTAATACTGTAATTAGATTTAAAAACAAAGCCTAAGTCTTAGTTGATGGAGTGACCTATTTTGTTATTTCAGCCATGCTGCTTGGTGAAATTGACAGACTATCTTGATGGAAATGATATTTCTGCAGAGATGTTGGTGCTTCTGCTTTTATCTCTATTTCCATTACTATTATTATTTATGGTTCATCACATATTCAACCAGATATTCAGACTGGAATTGGCATTTTTATCCACCTACTGAGTCCTTCCCATCAACTTTGATAAGAAGATGTAGATGTTTGAATTTTATTAAATTTGTCGCCCATCTCACAGTTCAAGGTGGCTCAGAGTGCTCTTTCCATGTACTTTACATTTATATTATATAATCTCTCTCCTTATACCAGCAGCTAAAAACAATTCAACTGTATGTTAATACTCAGAATACATTTAAGTAAATGTATTTGATTAATTATATATTTGGCCAATATATTTTTCTGAAATATTGGTAGACTACATGTTTTTTCAGTCTAATAGCTCTAATGCTAAAAAGAAACAACTGCAGTCTTACTGAACCAAATTCAAGAAATAAAACAGACAATGGGTCTGGCCAATCTCCCTTTTTCTGCTTTTATTTATAAACACCTCTTTTTATTATGATTATAACTATTCATGCTAGTCACCTTAACACAGGGAAATGTTTAGTGATTCAGTAAATCACATACTTTTCCTCTAAGAAAGCATAATAATCAATATAGTCTTTCCTGCTGTGATCTGAAGATGAATGCTATGATAACCTGTTTTCTGAATTTTTCTGGAACATTCTATAAAAAACAGTAATTCAACCAAGAGCTCGATGTATTTTGTAAATTATAGTTAATAACTTTAAGAGCAAAACATATAAGATAAATAAAGAAGTTATTTGATCTAGGAGCAGGTACTGATTTGTGTACTTGCCTTGATTATTGTTGCAGGTCTGTTTTGACTTGGCTGGGTGTTTGTTTTCACTCTTACTAATGGGCCAAACATCCTATATGTGAGAAATGGTGTTTGCTCTTAGCTCTGCAGGCCAAGGTTCAATATTGTGTCTTGATCACACAAAAAGAGGAACAGATTTTTAAGTCCCTTATCTTTGTGTAACACACATTGTCAGTTACAAGAGTAGATTTTCTTGGACTACTTCTCACAACCCCTCCATTTATTCCAGTGATTAGATAGTAACCCTATTATAAAGAAGGCTTCATTGAGAAATGGCAATAATAAGATGCTTTAGCTTTCCAGTAAAATCTGGACAATCCTAGACAAATTTTACAGCAATTTATCTCATGAACAAGTGGGGTCACATTATTCAGATTTCTGGAATATTGTTCAGTCTTGAATGGGGTAATTCAAAGGTTTTGCTTTTCAAGATTATGCATTCTTTGTTTTGTGTTCCTGGTATCACCTCATTGATTAAATGGCTCAGGAAATTTAACTGAGACTAAATATTTTTTTTTTAAATACAAAATCAGCTTTCAGATAGAATGGGAAATGATGTGCACATGTTTATAATTTTCTTAATTCAGTTTGTCTTCCTTCTATAGTTCGCCTTTCTGTGGCAAGTTTTGAAGTGCAGGAAGGACTGAAATTATTGCCTCCCGGGGTAATAGTATGCCTTCAAACACATGCTGTCTGCTAGGCAACATACTTTAACTGAATGTTTACATTAAAAAATAAAATAAAAATGGGAAATTGAGTATAGAACAGCGAAGTGTCTTTAGTATAATCTTTATTTCATAGATAACTTTGAAACCTTGAAAGTTACTTTGAAGTAAGATGGGCAGCCTATACATTTCATAAATCAATTAATCAATAAATAACTTTTTGATCCCTCATAAATTCCCACAAACTTTCTTAGAAAGTAAGATTGGTTGCTGCTTATGCTTTGTTTGGAAATGTATTCATCTGCCTAAGCAGGGGTAATATGTAACATGTTGTGAGACAGATAACTTTCCAGTAATCAATGAATGGGGAAATCCCTCAGTAGCTCTTTTGCTTCAATATCCACAGTATAACTTCAGAATTATAAATATGTCCACAAGATTGAAAATGGAATGTAGAACAACAAAATGAAGAAATAAAGATACAATTTCCCCATTGTTATCTCTTGGCTCTATTTTTGTTCCCTGGACTGAATTCACATTTTGAAAGGTTGGAATAGGTTTTTTTTTGGAGACAGAGATATAAGGCCCTTAACAATTTTTATTTTTTTGTAGCTCCTGATGTAGTCTGCAGATGGTGGTCATCAGCAATCACAATGATAATCAGCTGGCTCAAGGGTGATGATACAGCTGTGAAATCTCAGTTTATCAATGTGGAACGAATTCCTAAATGCTTGGAGATGATGGAGTGTGTGATCTTTTATATTATTTGTACAACTGTATCTGAAATCTAAAAGGGATATTATAAAATAGAAAGTTTCCTAATCTTTAATTTTGATCTCCCATAAACATATCACAAATCTCTGTTGGGCATTATGAAACTAAAGTATAACTTGTTTCTTCAAATAGTTTTTAAATTAACCCAGCACTTATCAGACTTGGGTATCCCACGTTTGCCTCGAAGCAGTGGATGCAAAATATGAGTGTAACATCTACTATACTAGTTTTAGCTTCATTATCTAGTGATAATTCATTTATAGGGCTCATTTTAGCACTTTTTGGGAGAATATATACCAAAGCAGTTATATAACAAAGTATCTGGAAATACATTTTTTAAAAAGGGCTGCTTGAAGCCATGAAAGTCAGCTTGGTAACCTTGGACCAGTTTCTTCTCACAGTCCAACTCATCTCATAGGGTTATTATGGAGAAAATAGGAGGAGGCAGGTCATTGGCGGGATTCAAATTTTTTTACTATGGTTCTGTGGGCGTGGCTTGGTGGGCATGGCAGGGGAAGGATACTGTAAAATATCCATTCCCTCCCCACTCCAGTGGAAGGTTACTACAAAATCCCCATTTCCTCTAGATCAGATGGGACTAGGGAGGCAGATAATAGATGGGGGCGAGACCAGTCAGAGGTGGTATTTACCAGTTCTCCAAACTACTCAAAATTTCGGCTACCAGTTCTCCAGAACTGATCAAAACCTGCTGAATATCACCTCTGAGGCAGGTATGTTGGATATTTCCCCCACCTTGTATTATTTGTAAAAACAATAGAGGCAGAAAACAAACAAATCTACTGTTCATAAAACTTAAAAGACATTAATCATTTTCCTTGCTCTCTCCTCTCCTCCTCCCTATATGCCTCTAGGAATGCCCTTGTACGAGCTATCTTCCATGTATGCAAAGCCATGAATGTCTTGTTGTCTAGCAAGGCAGATGGGCAGCATAGTTCATTTAGCCATTGTGAAAGAGCTAGCACTCATCTCTGGAATAGTCTTAACATGAGAAGTGGGGTCTCAAGCACAAGTCTCAACAATGTAAGTCGTGCATATTTACTTGAACTAAGGTAACAAACCGTTTTCTTAATGTAGGTTTTGTTAAATGTCTTTGAGTTTTGTTAAATGTCTTTGAGACTGAAAGACTAGCTGCTTCTTACTCACCCATGAAAAAATGGAGAGTCTTCCTTCTTTTGCCTTCTTCCAGTGCAGCAAATACAGCTGCATTGTACCTATTTTCAAAGGAAAGGCAGGTGGGGACAGCATCTGTTCACAGTTCATTATCTCTGCCCAAATAATAACAGAACAAGTGCTTGCTTGACTCATTCCCTTTTCTCTTGAATTATCCTGAATGAATTATTTTCACCAAAGGATAAGGATACTGATTTCCATAGCTAAGAACAGTTCTTAATTTTTGCATCATGAAATTGGCTCTTTCTTCCTATCTTTGTATTTAATACTAAGTGCACTTTGAGTTTTGTAAGCATGGAGGTTTGTTAAACTCAGATTCTTTGTTTATACCTATTGGGTGGCAACTGTAGTGCATTGTAGTTGCATTGCATGTTCTGGAAAAACTCATGCAATGTTTCTGCAGTGCAGTTCAGAGGCCTGCCTGATCTCTGCACTACAAGTCAAGTCTCCTGAGCCTTGGTTTTCAAAGTTTTTGTTGGTATGGGAAGTAATTCTTAGGAACTTTATATAAAGTGGATCAAGAGGCCATTTAATCTAGCCCTCCATCCAAAGGTAGGAAGGAGTATTTAATTCACCAACCCTCTTGCAGATTAATCAATGAAATATGGGTTACTATACCCCCAATTAGAGAGCTAACTGTAATAAATAACATGCAGAGTTAATACTGTAGATTGAAAGGGATCAGGAAAGTAACACAAAGAATACCAGGCAAAGAAAAGGCAAACATATAACTGTTGTACTATATTTAACACTTTGCTTATGGCTTGTATTTTGAAAGAAATTAATCAAATTGTATGCTTCTTATAAAGCATTATTTTGTCATCAGTGTGCAATATTTTAGTTCTGTGAACACTGATGCCATTTTTATTTTGATCCAACATTATATTGCTTTCTGTTTCTGGGGAATTTTTGGGTCAAATGCAACATTCTTTAGGATAAGTTTTCAATAAATGCACAAATAATTTTTTTCAGTTGTTTCTTGTTAATGCAATTCAAGATGAACACAATGTAGTTTCACTATATAGTAATTTCACAAAACACTAATTAAACAGGAAACAAAAATTGATTAACAAGTGATTAAGCAATGATATATGTATTATAAAGAAGTTTAATATTATTTGGTGGCAATGATTTTATGTTGCATATTGCTTTATTTTATTTGATTTAAGTAGTTATATACTGTTAATAGGTTTTATAGGGTCTATTTTATCTATTTTTGTAAAGGGGGTTATCTAATTCCTTTAGAGTTATCTAGGTTTTTAATGTGGCTGCTTATTTTTTTATATTTTAATCTAACTGATACTTTTTATTCCTGTTTATTGTTTAGTTTTTATAATAAATATATATTTACTGTACTGCAACAGTATATAGTAATGATAATGGCTATTTAAAACTCTGTATTTTGGTAACTTGGACATGGCTTTGGGGATTCCTGGGCCAGTTGTTCAAAACTGACTGTGACCACCAGAAATTTTCACGCAGTTACTGTAGCCCCAACCCCCTGCCATTACTATTCTCTGAATACTTTTTTATTTTTGTTGCTGAATGACAATCTGTCTCTTTAGATGATCCAGCTGCTGGCTTGCGATCTACTGTTGTCTCTCCGTACCACTCTGTGGCAGAAACAGACAAATTCTAGTCAAGCTTTGGGAGACATGCACCATGCTTCTGCTTCTGAGCTGACTGGCTTCCAGCGTGATCTTGGCAGCCTGCGAAAACTAGCAAACAGCTTCAGGCTTGCTTACCGAAAGGTAAGAATCTGTGATATTGGAAACCCTCTGTGGATTTCTTGCTAAAAATGAATAATAAGGAACTGGTAATTTCTGGATTTATCTATTAAAAAGGACTGTATATGGGGAGGAGGGAACTATGTTACATAATCTTGAAAGGGGGAAATAATATTTAGTAAGTTTATAACTGCTGTAAATATTGGGAGCCCCTTTTAGTTTTTATTCCCTTGTCTTTGTATTGTTTTAAACACTTTTTCCTTTTTCTTTATTTTTCTTTGTATTTGTCTTTTAATGTAGTAAAAAAAAATCAGATAGGCAGGCAGGCAGGCAGACAAACATGTTTGTGTAAGAATCTCTGAATGGTATTGAGAGAACTTCAGGTTGAGAAAATGTTGGCTTTTTTCATATTTTCATATTTATTTTCTCCTGAGTGCCTGAGTGGTATTGTAAGCCAGAAGAACAAATTGCTCTGCCAGAATCTGTTTTTCATAAATCTGTGATAATAAACACTGCAAACAATGTTATATTATCACAGATTTTCTTCTGGATATACTTCTACTATTTTAAGCTTTGCTCATGATACTTAGGTGTACATAAAATGATGAGGATGCTTTGTGAAAGTTAAAATATTTCACTTTATTTTACATCCCTAAAATAATTATGTAATTATAATTGTGTGTGTGTATGCACACATGCTTTTGTTCCAGCCCATAGGGCTCATTTTTGTGATATAGATGTGATATGAACTGAGAATTTCCAAGCTTTCTATTCTTTCTACATTGGTTTAAACCAGAAAGCGGCTAAGAGAATAAAGTGGCCATTAAAATACTCTTAAGAAAGGAAGATAATGGTTTTAAAAGTTTGCTTTAGGGCTCACCATTTATTTCCCCTCACCACCACCACCACCCCGGGAATAAATTGCAACCCAGATTCTTCTGTCTTCTAAGCATGAACTGTTTAGAGGCCAGCTAAGTCAGCCTTGCACCTGCATCAGACCATCTGCCAAGGGAGAGTTGTACAATTTATTGGATGTGCAATTTTAATGACCACTAGATGTCAGCAGAAATATACAGAATATAAAGACCCTGACGCCATTTTGTGTTTGTCCAGATTTTTGCAGCTCAGGCAGCTATGGTAATTCTGTTGGAAGAATTGCAGAAACAGAACACACACAAAATACATAGAGATTAGGTGAATCTGGCAAGAGGATGAGAGTGGATAAAAGACAAACTTTAAAATCTATAAAATGTCCATCACAGTTTTGGACATCTGGTCAACATCTAAGAAATGATTGTTTGAAGTCTGCCTATTAAAGTCATCGCCATGGCATTTCAATTTTTTCCTACTTTTCTAGGTTTTTCTTCATGAGGCCACTGTCCGCTTGATGGCAGGAGCCAGCCCCACCCGTACTCACCAGCTGCTTGAGCATAGTCTGAGACGTCAGACCCCACAGAGTACCAAGCAAGGTCAGTAGTTTCTTGTGCTGTTCTCTTTCTTATCTGCTAAATAGAAGGAGATAAAACAGGACGAACTGCTACATTTGGAAAATTGGCTGATCTCAGTTTGGTCTTAATTTCTGGTCGACCTATGATTCTTTATGTAGATAAGAGGCACCTAATGCTTGAAGCCTGAATTATTCTTGGATGTATAATATAAAATATCATTTTTGGTATTTTTACACTCAGAACCATAGACAGGCAGGCAGGCAGGCAGTCGGACAGACAGAAAGAAGCATATACAGCTTTGTTTTGGGATATGTTTATTTTTGGTCTGTGCCCAAATAAATCTGTCTTCTCAAGTATTCCATTATACCACAAAAGAAAAGCTCCTATATTAGTTGCATGCAGTAGTATTTTTAGCTGGGTGAGATGCTATAATTTGACTTTTAAAATATTATCCTTTTTACCAATCTTGACATTAAAAACAAGAGGCTTATGCCAAGTGCCATTGTTTTTAGTAACTACAATACTCAGCCTACATTGTTTTGTTTCAACAAATGGAACACTTCAGCATTCAGAGTTTTGTTTTCAGAATTCCCCAAAACTGGAATGCTTAGCAGAAAATTCGAGGTGGTGCCAGTGTATTTTTTATTTCAATAACTTCCACAATACATTTATTGCCTAAAAACATTAATTACTCATTATTAATTATTCATTACTAAGATTTTTATTGTTAGTCTTTTGTTTTCATATTTAGGTGAGTTGGATGTTCTTCCCGGACAAAGAGAACGAGCTACAGCAATTCTATTAGCCTGCCGCTACCTCCCCCTGTCTTTTCTGTCATCTCCGGGCCAGCGTACTGTCCTGCTGGCAGAAGCAGCTCGAACACTGGAGAAGGTTGGCGACATGCGTTCCTGCAATGACTGTCAGCAGATGATTGTGAAACTAAGTGGTGGCACAGCTATTGCTGCTTCCTAACCCTAGAGGAATAGTTTCATCAGACATTGAATGAATTCTTGTCCCATTCTCTTCCTTTTTTCTTAAAAACCCTTCCAGATGTGTGGAAGTTTCATTATACTAATAGGAGACAGTGACTTGGTGTATAGCAAGTGGCGAATTATTTGCCTCCAAGCAAAAAGATTGTTCATGCTGGTGCTAGAAAGTTTTTTTTCCCCCTGGCAGAGACTGATATCTTGGACTGATTAACTTGGATGTCTTTGAAAGAGGGATTTGTTTTTCTCTCTCATTGTTTTTACAAAACAATCTCTATTGAAAACATCTTTGGGGTAAGGAGTTAGTAAAAAGTGAAAAATTTGTTACAAAGTCTCATTTGATGGCATTTGCAATGGTTCTTGGTCCAGTAATATATAGATTCAAAGAAGATAGGATTGTGTTTAACTTCTACTCTCCTCAGTATACGTTTGTCCTACTTACTGATACCTTCCTATAAAATAGAAGCTTTAGGAAGTCAGGCCAGTTCTCTAGAGAAGTGCATTATGGTTTTATGCTATTTGGGTTATAATTATTTATATTTTGCAAACTATAAAAAATACCAGTTTCTTTTTGTCTCATACTCTTCATTTCATTCTGTATCTTTCTTCTTTCTGTAATTTTTCATAAACTGATGATGATCAGAAAGATAGAAACTGTAGTTTCAGTCAATCAGTCAATCAATGTTTATTCAATCATAGGCCAGCAAATAAAAAAAGAAAAATTGAAATTAATTAGGATAAAAAGAAAAAAAATCTAAGGAAAACAAACCTGATGTACTGTACAAACTATAAAACAGTACTTAGCTGTAAAGAAGTAAAATCAGATCAATGTTATATGATAATTAAAAAAACAAGTTAAAACAGATCAGAACAACCCAGAAGTTTAATAAAGAATAGACATAATAATTCCTGGTGAACATTTTGTAGAGGAGACAATACAAAATAACTTGTTCCATATTTCAATTGTTCCTTCATGGCATGGACAGAGTCTATGTTTGAAGAGGATTTTTTAGTGTCTCCCTTCAGTAACAACTATTGGGAGAACATTGAATCTGACCAAGGATAAAGCCATTCTAAATTTTGGAATTGTTATGTGACTAAGGTATATCACTGGTTGAAGAAGATATGAGAAACTATAACATCTAAATTAGCAGGTTGTAGAAGACTGTTCTATAGCATCATTGTAAAGCCAGGAACTGAAAAACTAAAAACATTACTTTAAAAATTAATGGTTAAATGACAGGAAGATGCAGGTTTTCTGATCTCAGGACTGAAGGTAAAGGGTAGAACATTAACATCTTTTCCAGCATTATTTTGCTGAAGGAAATCCCACCTTTGGAAAGAGATTTTGAGCAAGATGAAACGTGGACAAGGATGAAATGATCCTCCCCAAGACCTTGATTTGGATGCCTGCTTGTTATAAACAAAGAGGTAGCTAACCTAGCCACACTTTTAAATCATGTAGATCTAGCTTGACCCTAAAAAAATACAGATTTTTTTCCCCGAAGCTCTTTACATCCATGTAAGATTTAACACCTAATGGTAAAAATTAGTTCCATGTTCACCAATTGGTAGTAAGGTAGCTATACTACCAATTGAAGGGATTCTCATGTTCTTTCCCACAATTTTGGGAGCATTGTAACGTGTATATATATATAGAATGGATAAAGAATTTTAGTGTTAAAAGGAAACAAAGTATAGCTCAATCTCCTCTGGCAGAATCACACAAATTTTATATTATATGGAACTCTAAGGTCCAAAAGCCATGTTTTTCTCCCTACTTATTTCCTTTGCTTACTCTTTTTTGGGGGGGCAGGGGGGCGGGGGTCAGGTCTTTCATTGCATTGATCTAGATTTCAATAGAAGCTCCTATGTAATGGCATATATACAGAAGAGCAATTTGGAAATTCACCCAACTTTAATTATATTAGTCCTTGAAATAATGTGATTGGTAATCCTTGGCTGCATAGATAGGACTCTCAATAATGAAAAATCTTTTAAAACTTTCTATTCCGATACCCCCATATGTGAAGCTGTGGTGGTAAAGAAATTTTGAATATTGCTATTTCATAGAGTTCAAATACTTCTCCATAAAAGATGCAAATCATGCTGATGATAGAGTTTTAATGCTTCATAGTTAACCAGAAACAGATTCCACATTAAAACCTTGACTTACATCTTGAAAGTCTATTCTCAGTCAACCTGCATTTATTGAAATGTAAAATTTTATTTTAATGCAATTTTCCTGCTTCTCCCTAAAATATGTGAGTGGATGTGTTTGATTTGTATATCCCGCCCCATTCTGGTACATGGTGAAACGTAATATTTGACCATGCTATTTGAAAAAAGTTTTGGTATCGTTGGTTTCCTTGATGGAAGTGTATTTAAGTTTGTGTTTCTTACAACTGATATGCATACTGTAATTCTGCCTGCTTCCCTTTAAACCTAGGTAGTCAGAATAAGGGTCCCAGGGGCTGCTGATTCAGAGGCACATTTAAATTTGCAGGCTGCATAAAGTACCATTCCATTCACTAAGACAGAATCTTAATGATGGCATTCCCAGTGCAGGTAGCAACTAAGTAGGAAAAATAGTAAACTTATTGGGACTGAGGAGATTAAGGGTCATTGCTAATTTATGCCTCCAACTGCTGTTACATCCATGCAAATTTTGCTTTATTATAAAACAAAATAATCAGCCCAGGAGTAACACAAAGTGTGAATTCTTAAGAGTCTAACAGATTGATTGAGTAGGCTTGAACTTGCAAATGCTTCCATCTGGGCTCTCTCAGGGCAAATAATTCAATATAATTAATTTGTAAAAAAAAATGTAAAAAAATACCCATCTCTTTCTGAGTATTTCATGGTTTCTTGAATTTGAAGCATTGAAAGTAGTTTATTTTTGTTAAAAGAGCAAATGGCCATTACAATATAAAAAATCCATATTAATCAGTCAATTGGATGGAGATGGGTGGTTATAAAAATTGAATAATTACATAAATATTGCACAGCCATAATAATGAGGTTACTGTCTTGTTTAAATTACAATTGCATAGATGTGATCTCTACAAAGAAATCTACCTTTTTGCATCTTTTTGGCAGTTTTATATACTTCATGTATTTATGGAACTGTTCCTCCTAATCTAGCCCTATATATGTTTTGTGTATATAATGGTAACTTTTCTGTTTTTATATGAGATGAAAATTGTCTTTTTATCCCAATAAAATTAGAAATAGAGATGCTTTGATACATGAAGATGTAGCGGATGGTGAAGTCAGGAGATGAGAGTTTCTGTTATTCCCAGGTGACCTTTTGGTATGGATCATTATGTAATTTATCTAATAAAGACAAAATTTAACTCAGGGTCTGATATTATTGTCAACAAACTTTCTTTATAATAAGTAATATAGAAAAAATGTCTACCACAAAAGGTATTTGTCCATTTATTGCAATATATAAATGATAGTGATTCTAGGCAACGAATGCTGTGCCTAGAGAGAGACTTTATTGTTTATTCAGCCATTCTGAAGGATTTAGAGCCAAAAACAGTTGAGAGAACTATGGCCAAGATGCTTAAACCTGATTGCTAATAGAGGTATTGTGCGTTTGAGGTGAAAGGTAATTTTATATTAACTAAGATGAATAGACATCAGAGGTGCAAGTGGCATTACTTCTGCAAAGCATGGATACCTTTGAAGTTTACCTGCTAATTGAGGAGGGACTGTTAACTTGGTGAATTTATTTCCTTGTTTGTCCAGTTGTGTCTGGCTCTAATCTTCACCTCATTTACAGCTAGCTCAGTTCCTAATTTCCCTTCCTTTTACCTCATTTTCTTTTCTATTCCTTGTTTCTGCTAGGAGGAGAAAACATGTATGTGTAGTATATACATGCTGTATATGTATATATATGTTTCTCTGCATGTGTGTATGAGAGAGTGATTGGCTCGTACATATAAGAATCACTAATTTTGTAAATGTTCCTTATTAACAAGCAACTCAGTTCAGTTATAGTTAATTGTGAGAAAAAAAGGAGCGAAACTGAAGTTGCTGTCTACATTTCAGAAAAGCAGCTGGGCTCATTTCTCCCTCATACAAATTCATGGTTTGCTGTGGAAAACAATCCACTCACAAGCATCCATGTTGGGGTTCCATCTGGCTGGCTAATTGAGCCACACTCTGGCATTTTTTAGGATCATGCTGACATCCATGGGCAGCATGATCTCATCCAGACCTTCAACCTACAAAATGTGGGTGTGTAGGATAAAATAAGATAAGGAGAAGACAGCAAGCAGATGAGGAAGAGAGAAACCAGATCCAGGCTTTTATAACCATTACAGATAAGCAAGAGGGATGTCAATCAACTTCCAAGAACACAATCTATGGTAAAACAATCCATTGTGGTGTGATTCCTGTCTGGAGCATGGCTTGGGACTCAGCTGCAGTGCTCAGTAGCAACACTGCTTAGGAGCTTGGCTGCAACCAGGACAGGAGCAATCATGGTGATTGCAAATCAAGAACCTTCGGAGGGAGGGAAAGATTGTATGCTGCTTGCAACTTAAGACTTTTACCAGTTGAGGATAGAGCACCAAAGACTTAATTACATGGCTACATTCACTTACTTATTGATAGATTAAATCAGTGGTGGGTTCTGGATCCCATCGCAACTGGTACGCTGTGACGGGTCCGGGCGTCCACGGGCATTTGCGCTTCGCATGCATGCACACCAACTGCCCTGCGACGCTCCAGCTGCTTGGCGGAGGTTGCGCAGGTGCCGTACGCTGTGCGCGTGTGCACAAATGGCCCAGTTAGCTCAACTAGAGGTAAGGAACGAGGGCCCTCCAAAGCACTGTTCCAGTACAATGGCCGCTGCTTCCAGCTGCCACCGGTACGCCCATACCAGGGCGTACCAGCCAGAACCCACCACTGGATTAAATGTATTTGCTGCCCATCTCATTTCAAAGCGACTCTTGCAAAATAGGAGGATGGAATTAATCCAGGGCACTAGCCTATAATTATGGAAGGTGTTGGCTGCAATAAAGCATTGTGTCCGGTTATCTTCTAGTGCAGTTCTTGGAAAACAATCCTCACAATATGTACTTTTTCCTAATCCCATCCTGTTTTTTTGAAGTATGGTTTTAGCAGAGTGAGAAATAATATATACACAACATACACATAAACATACACACTTATATGTGTGGCATATGGAAGCATTTATTAGGCAGGAGGAGAATTTTTAGAAGTCACTTCAATTAATGTTGGCAATGATAACTTGACATGGATGGTAAGTACACTAGTTGAGGAGTTGAGCCTAGTTTTTTCCCCCTTCCACTTCTACCTTTTTTAGTCTGTGTTGAGGTACTATCTTAAAATCAGTTATCTTTTTGATAAATGTGATATTTGTTTGAACAAAAAATATATAATGCAAGTGTTACTCTCTTCCTCTCCTGTAGTGTATCACTGCTTAGGAATACTGTTCAATGCAATGTTTCTCAAACTCAGCAACTTATAAGATTTGTGGACTTCAATTCAATGTAGTGGCTGGAAAATTCTGGGAGCTGAAGTCCAAAATACTAAACTTGCTGAAGTTAAGAAACGCAGGTTTAGTGCATTTGTATTTCCTTTATGTGTCGGGATACTATATAAAATGGTCCGTTACTGTAGTCAACTTGCTGAAATAAGAAAGATTTGACTTTACCTTTATATATAACCATTCTTAAGGATTCTGTGCTAGGAAAACTCCCAATATCTCTGACCCCAAACATTGCCTGCTGTCTATAAATAGAACAGCATATTATAAAGTCTGTGGATTTGAAATGAAATAATTTGAAATGTAAGAGAGAAACTTTTTTGCCTATTAAACTTCAATTTTATTACTGCTTCAACTTGGTTATCGGAATTTTATGTCAAGACTAATTTTTCAGCATATTTAGGCAACAATAGGGGGAGTTGAAGACCTTCCCTGTGTTTTAGTTATAGTTTGGAAATGGAGTAAATCACTTCTTTTATTCAGAAACATGATCAAGAGGAAATTATAAAGATGACCCTCAGTGAATTTGGGAATTCAATGGTTCTATTGACTTCCTTGTTCTCTGTATATATACAGCTGACTATCAATTTTTCCCCCTGCATTTTACTTCTCCATTCACCAGCAGAGGGCAGAAATGCCACAGCAAAATATATTTAATAGAATCCACCATTCATTCTCAACATGCTGCTAGGAATGTATGTTGGCTCTGAGAACATTTGCTAACATATGACGGGAATATGGCATATAGAAAGTTTCTCTGTACGAATGTTCCTTACTGTAATTCTTGCCCAATGCCCATTTAGCCTAAAGTAGGCTTTCATATTTAATCATATATTTCCCGCTTTGTTGCTGGGCTTATGTTCTTTTAGGACAGGGGTGAAAAACTCAAGGCCCATGGGCCCTGAAAATAAAGAGGGACCAGCCCGTGGTGCCTCTGTCAGTGAAAACGGAGCTTGGGACCTCTTGAACTCTAATTTCTCTGGCAGAGGGTTGTAGAAGACCATTGCAGCTGAAAATGGAGCTTGGGAGCCCATTTTCCCGAAGGTCAAACACAACCCTGATGCAGTCCTCAATGAAATCGAGTTTGACAACCCTGTTTTAGGAGGATAAATACATAATACCTAGAATATGTCAATTTGATGGGGAGAAATGGGGGTGTGGGGAAAGGATAGAGGCTGACAGAGGAGCTAAATGTTCGCTTTGAAAGAATGAACATTTCTATTAGTGAGGATTGTTATACATACTACGTGCCCTTTACACTGTACCTAAAATGTGCCTTAAAGTTTTAAAAATAAAATATAAAACAGTTGCAGTATTTTAGTGTAATTAAGGAAGATATTTCATGGGAAACTAATGAAGATTAGCAACAATCACATGAAAATGAAATCTAAATAGGAAGGACTTTATTAGTTATCTCTTTTTATGAGGGGCTTCTCTGTATAATAACAAACAATATAATGGATGGAAACTAATCAAGGAGAAAATCAGCCTAGAACTAAGGGGAAATGCCCTGACAGTTTAATCAGTGGAACAACTTGGCTCCAGAAATTGTGGATGTTCCAACAATGGAAGTTTTAAAGAAGAGATTGGACAACCATTTGTCTGAAATGGTACAGGGCTTCCTGCCTAAGCAGGGGTTTGGACTAGAAGACCTCCAAGGTCCCTTCTAACTCTGTTATTCTGTTATAATAACTCACTGCTCTATAACTACAATTTAGAAAGTTATTTAATTTATATGAAAATATTTATTCTGAAACTTCAGGCATTTGAACACCAAACTGCTGTAGTGTAATTCTAAGAAATGGTTTGTCCAAGACTGTGCAGTTACTAAAAAAAGCAATGTATGACACTTTTATTTGCCACAAAATAAAATCTACAATTGCCAACAATGATGTTCATAATTAAGGAAAAAAGAATTACAAAACTCTTTGGAAAAAGAAGAAAAGAAGTGGTCTGGCAACAGCTGATTGTAGCTGATAAAACACTTGTCATTCTTCCAATTTTGGTATGTCCCACCTGGTTTGCTGCATACCTATGGGGCAGGAGATTATACATTACATTCGAAGGTCAAGAAACATTCATATCGTGGGCCTTTAATCACATTCCTCACTTTAGGCAAACAAACAGCTACCATTGACAGACAAGTCATCAACGCCAAAGCTCAAAAGCATAAAAATATTCTTCCTAGCCTGCTTCTTAAAGTCCAACTTTCACTTCAATAGAATGCCATGGCTTCCATGATTCTGAAAATACCCTACATAGAAAATAGAGCCTATAGAGATACAAAATACCCTAATCCAAATTTCAAAATTTTATCCATTTATCCTCACCCACCTTAAGTATTAATGGATTTTTTTTTAGAACTTGAATACAATCAGGTAAGTGATTAAAAAAAATAGGTTCCTTGCCTTGTACATTTTATTCAGACTTCTGGAGAAGGCTAACTGAGCTATTGTGAAAAAAAATTTCAAGCCACCACATGGCTTTTGTATTTTAAAGCTACTTAATTGCAAAATTGTGACATTCTTGTAATCTTTAGAAGAATTGATCAGAATCAGTCATGTAATTTTTACTGTTTAAAAAAGTATCTGAATACTCATTACATATTTCTATTAAACTGTGTTTTTTGCAACTGCTTTAATTCCCCTTTTTGTTTGAGACCACAATGAAATGTTCCCACGTTTTTCAAATTTACTTTTTTTTTAAAAAAATCCACATGAGTTTAGCTAATCCTTTATCTCCTTTATTTCTAATCTTCTTGCTGAGCTATCCAGAGAAGACACTGTAGGCCAAAAAAGGAAGAAAGTTTGGGGAGTCATAGAAATTATTTTCTCTGATGGGCATAAAATGAGACTTCCTTATAAATTGGATAATATATATTATAAATTATTTTTTATATCTTATGTAAAACCCTACATCTAATGCTTGGTTCAGCTATAAACTAATGTTTTCCCAGGAAACAAATTGTAATGGTTGTTAAACTGTCTGCAATTCTAATTACTTCACAAAGTTGAAGATCTTCTGAACCTACAAAGACTCTTTTATTCTCTTCCTCCTTTCCATCTATGAAGAGGTTCTGCACAAAAACCTGAGATAAGTCAGAATGTCTTTTAACTATCCCTCAAAAGCCAGAATTAAGCAGATGACTTCTCAAAGTTGTTAACTGACACACTAGGACATATAATTATTTTTGAAATAATGATTTGTATACAGGATACCATGAGCCAATCTGTCAGAGTGATCCTCCAAGAAAAAGCTATTAGTTGAAGCCAGGAAATAAAGATTTTCTCCCATTGAACCTGTTCTATGGAACAATCTCCACCTAAAACTAAGATTGATACCCGTGGCTGGGGCCTTCTGGAAGGCAATTAAGGAACTCTTCTGTAGGGCCTTTGGGAATTGATTGCTTTCCACCATAATTTACATTTAGTATTTATTATTTCATTGTGTTGTCGTGGATTATGGTAGAATTTACTGTGGTTTATTTCTGTAATGTTTTGTTACGATTGTAAGCTGCCAGGCCCTTGCCATTCATCCCCAAATATATTTATGCCCTTTCTGGAATTTTTGCCTGAGGATATTACATTTAACGCTAGATCTACAACCGTGATGGCGAACCTATGGCACACATGCCACAGGTGGCACGCAGAGCCTTCTCTGTGGGTGCGCGAACCCAGCTCAGTTCTTCCACACACCTCGGTGTGCGCGTGCACTTCCCGCCAGCTAGCTGATTTTGGGGTCTCTGCCCTGCATGTCTAGGGCACATGCGGGAGACATGCATGCATGTGTGGAAGGATGAGATGCACGTGTGGGGGTTGTGTGTGCATGTGCAGGGGCGGGCCACACAGACGTTGGACTATGGGTGTGTGCATGCACGCTTTCGGCACTTGGTGCCATTACTATTCTACTATATTAAATGGGGTTGGGGTGGGTGGGCAGGGATCAATATTCTCTCTGCTGAACTTCTGCCCCGCAATTCATTTTTCATGAATGGAACAGATTTGGACTAGCTGGGGAATCCCTGCTCTCAAGAAAAGCAGACTAGATTCCACATGGCAGAAGAGTGTCTCTGTCTTAGAAATTGTGATTAACTGACACTTGGCCACCTTTGCTTCCACCCTCCCTCCAATTGCTAATACAGCTGGTGCTGATGATGTGGTCTCCCTATCACTTGGTCTGCATGGAAGTTTAATTTATTAGAAATTTTTATGTCAGTTTGTGGATAGTTATTTGGAGAAGTTGCCAATTCTGGCTTTATATTAATTGCTGAACAGGATTTTGGTACAATTGTACACATGCCTTGGAATTATTAACATACAAAACTATAAAATGGGTAATAATAATAATAATAATAATAATAATAATAATAATAATAATAATAATAATTAGAAGACATTACTGTGTCACACAGATGACACACACATATCCAGCAGTATAAACTAAAATACAAATTAAAACTTCAATACCAGGTATCAATCATTCTAAAATAGCAGCTATATTGCCAAAAATATGAAGTGACATTTTGTTGTTTGGAAAGAAATTGGACACCCACAATGATTTCATCATGTGATGAAGTAAAATTCCTAGTGACATGTATCTGTTTGCAATCAGAGCTTGGAATACTATTCAGAAGCAGAAGTGAATTGAGTAGTGGCTGAATTTAAATCAGATCATGATACAGCCGCAATTAGTTGGTATCTATCGCAAGTACTTTTTGGCTGCATTTCAGGGGAAATCAGCATTTGTATATTTTAATAGCCAGAACTCAATTTAAAAAGATTTTCTTCCATGCTACAAGATATATCAGAATATGACTACAACTCCAATTACACATCAACTGGTGGATCATGTTGTATCTGATCTGGTGGTCCAGAGATCATGAAAAAAGACTCAATGAAAAGAGCCAGAGTGAAATGTGATATAAAGTGAAATATGGTGGCTGAAATATCAATATTTTGAATTTGTTACTATACAGCTAATAAATACATGTTTATATAGGCAATGGGGAATGAGTTATGATGTTACAAATATATGTTCACAAATATGTTTGTTTACATGATCACACACATGCCTTTTGTGATTTAACAAGATGTCATTATGATGGTATTAAATATTTTACATGAATCTCATAATTAGGTGGGAAATATGCCTTATGTTCTGCCCAGATCTTTTCAACCCTATAAAGTTATCCAGTTAAATATGAGACTCTTAATATTAAAGGAATGCAAACCATGTGCATTGTATAGAATATTTATATACAAAACCCCAAAATGACTTGTTAAAATACGATTAAAACAAATGTTATATAAAGAAAAAGGGAAGCTAAAAATGAAGGAAATGGCATACATTTTCTCACAGTCCTTGATGCTTCCATTTCAGACTGTTTATTTTTATTCATTTATTATTAGATTTATATCCTGTCTTTGTTTCCCCCAGAAATTTAAACACATAGAAATTTGATAAGTAATATAATATAGAGTGAATATCCAAACACAAGGTACCAATTAATTATTGCATGAGTGATTTTTGTCTTTTGTTAGAGCACTGTAGGAATGGGAAGGGCAGAAACATATTCCCTCTTTTGACGCAGTTCCATGCAGTAACAGAGTCCTGAAGGTTTCTCTTGGTATGGATGATTCTGGTATAATATAATGAAAAACTGAATTAGGAAACAACAGCAGTGCATCGAGCAATAGGGTAGTAAAGGCATGCTGGTTTCACCAAGCACGCTAACCAGGTTTTGTCAAATTGTCCTAATTGAACAAATGAGTTCTGTTACAATTGTAGACGATCATCAGCTCTGGCAAGCACTCTAGTTTTCTCTGCATCTTCTATGTTTCCTTCCAGAATCTAGCAGTGACACTTGAGTGAAGCAACTTTATTCCAAGCTGTCAGGCCCCACTTCACCAATTGCTTCAAAGGGAAGAATATAGGAATGAACAATAAATCCATTCTAGACTGTGACCTCAGTCTTGCTATTAGTGGAAAAAAGCCGTTGTTGCTGCACATAATGAGTGGGGGTTTGGCTGAAGACCTCAGGCAGCTTCTCAATACTGAACTGACGCCTGGTGGCATAAGCTTGTCGTCGAAATTCAGGGTGGCCGTGATCCCAGCCCCCTTTGAAGACAGGGCTGCCTGCATTGGTTTTCATCACTTTAGTTTTCTGTCCTGGTGTCCCCAAGCCAATGAGAGCAGTGCCTTCTGGGAAAGGTGGGAGATCATTTCGATGAAGTGTTAGGGGAGAAAATGACAAGGTGCCTGATGATGGCATCTCCACCATGGGAAACCTCTTGTAGAATTCTTCTGGGGCACTTTCTATAGGGGAATATATGGGTGTGGGGAGGGGAGGGAATGAAAAGCAATTATTAAGTTGATAGAGACTTTAGTAGCTTTCCTGATGGCTACCCTCCCTAGCATCTCTACTCTTTTTTTTTTTTGCCTCTCTTGTTAGTGTCAGAAGAGGGTTAAGACTGTTATAATTAATTTAACCAATAATTAAGTCTTTCAACTTATTTCCAGAAATATGACAGCAGCTACAGCTTGAGCTATTCATGGCAGGCATGCTGCAGCTTAGCCACTCATTCCTTAATATGTGTAAAACTTACCCAAAGAGGGAGGGGAAAACCCACATGTACAGGTGCATAATGCAGTGATTAATATGTGTTAAAGAGCAGCTAATAAACATTAAAGTATAATTGGGAACACCTCTTAGTCATTTCCTGGGTATTAAAAACACCCCCACTCCAGTAAGATTTAAGAGGCAGATACTCTTTGCCCTGTTCAAGCCTTTTTCATGTCTCTAAAATTGTTACATTTTTAGTTCTAGTTGTTTTTTCCCCCTTCCCCTGTAATCAGGGTTGTCTATTCCTTCCCACCTCATCTAATCCTCTCTGACATTAGTGAAATTCAGAAGCTATAACCCAGCAGAGTAGAATGTCAACAACAACAAGGTGATGTCATCTGGTGCACTACAATGGGGGTGAGCAAGCATAAAAACAGGGAGCTTCAGCCCAAACACTAAGGCAGTGTTCCAGTTCTCACTGCATTTGTCCAAATATTCCAATAGCAATAGCACTTAGATTTATATACCACCTCATAATGCTTTACAGCCCTCTCTAAGTGGTTTATAGAATCAGCATATTGCCCCCAACAATCTGGGTCCTCATTTTACCAACCTCGGAAGGATGGAAGGCTGAATCAACCTTGAGCCCATGAGAATTGAACTGCTGGCAGCCAGCAGCCAGCAATCAGCCGAAGTAGCCTGCAGTACTGCATTCTGACCACTATGCCACCATGGTTCTTGTCAATACTATGTCAATGAGCATGCAAATACAATGGCACCTACCTACAGCCTTTAGAGTGGCATATTTGGCATAATCTGAAGCCTGGTTAGGCAAAACACTTGTCATTTGCAACTGATTGTTATGTGAGTGTGACAGCCCAATCTGTGAGACTGTGGACGAGTTGATCACAGCATTGTTCAGGTGTTTCTGATCTGAAGGCAAAAAAGGATGGCAAGTGTAAATTTAAATAGTCCACCTTAAGTAACTTTACATTACATTTGCCAGCCCCTCAAACAAGTAACACACATTGGTACTACTTAAGTTTTGCCATAGTCAGAGCTAATGGGCATGGGGCAGTGGAAGGAAATCAGAAATTGGCATTTAAATACCATGGGCAATTGAGAAAGGAAGAGACAGCTCTGCCCAACAGCAAACTGACTTAACAATAGTAAGATGGCCAAAGAAATAGTAGCATACCACCCCTTTTGTATAGTGTAAATAAGAAGACACTTATTTGCAAGATAGAAATTTTAAGCATGTATTATTTGGACAGATTGAATCTTTTGACTAGAATCTGTTTCATACTGGTAGAAAGAATCATCTACTGATGCATGGAGACTGACTTAGATACCTACTCTCATGATAATAGCCTGCATTGCCAAAAAAGACCCATATTCTACTGCTCCAGAACATCAGAATGGAATGATTTAAGGGACAGAACTACCGCCAAATCTTCCCTCGCAACACACCTTGATAAGTATTTCTAAAGTTTACTTATTTACTTGTGGATATGCCAACCACAGCAAGAAGGCCAACAGTACAACAAATGTATTATAGATGAACTATAAAAGCTTAAGCCACTAGTTTTGATATGTTTAAATGGCTCTTTCCAGAATTCAAAATCAGAGTGGCTTTGTTGTCTGGATGTTATAATGTAAACATAACCAGAGCCTGCCAGGTTGGAAAAAGTTGTCATGTATTAATTAAATAAAAACAGTTAAAGTTCCACAAAGTTCCATTTACCAACTTGGTATAGTGAGAAGGAAGGAAGGGAGAGCATGGTAAAAGCATAGGGATGGCATTCCCTTTTCAGGCTACCTATTATCTAGAAGCGATATAGTTATTGATGTGTGGCAGAGGTGGTATTCAGCAGGTTCTGACCAGTTCTTGTCAACCGGTAGCAGAAACTTTGAGTAGGTCGGAGAACCAGTAAATACCACCTCTGACTGGTCCCGTCCCATCTATTCTCTGCCTCCTGAATCCCAGCTGATCGGGAGGAAATGGGGATTTTGCAGTAACGTTCCCCTGGAGTGGGGTGGGGGTGGAGATTTTACAGTACCCTTCCCCTGCCATGCCCACCAAGCCACACCCACAGAACTGGTAGTAATTTTTTTGAATCCCACCACTGATGTGTGCATATGTGACTGCATGGAGGTGAGGAAGCCGATTATCTTACCTTTGTTACTTGAGGGAGATCCCCGAGAAAGGCTATCACCAATCTGGACCTGCACACTGCTGATATGGCCATCAGGCAAGTGATCAGATGAGCTATGTCCAGGTTGCTTTAGAAGATCTGTGAGTGTTCTAGAAAAGATGGATGAAGAAGTTAATTGCCAACCGTCTCATGAAAAGATTCTCGCTTATTGGTATCCACTTTTTGTACCATTGTTTAATTGTATCACCAGCTGCACTTGCTGCTCATTTGCTTACTTGGGCACCCAGGAAATACTTCTTATGGATGGTATACTTGCTTAGAACTTGAAACATTGGAAGTGTTCTCGGAGGCTTCTAAGCAGAACCTGGACAACTACCTATCAGGGTGTTGCAAAGCAGACTCCCTACATGGACAGCCAAGCTTATTTCAATTTATGCATTGGTTTTCCTTTAGGGAGCTCAAAAGGAAAAAAAAAACATCATTTTTATCTTGACAATAATGAGGTTGTAAAATAGCCTGGGATGATAATTGCTGAGTGCTGCTGAAGGATTACCCTTATCAGAAAGGATGGGAGGAGAAAGGCTCCAAGGAAAAGCAGCTGTCTCTTAGGACACTTGGCTGTTGAAAGTGGTTAACAGTAGATGGAATATATAAACATAATAGATTCAATTGTCTTATTAAAAGAATTATAGAAAGGGAAATTCCAGACGATCTTTTTTTATTCAAACATTTGGTTTCCATTACAGCTACACATTTATTCTTTTCCCCAAATGTTGGTCTTAGATGAATGAAAACCAATACAAAATAGCATGCATGAACTTTGTTTGAATTTCTTATTAGAAACAAATGCATTGAGGGCCATCTCACTGCCAAGGCCCAGCCATATGATTTTCCTTTTCCAAGATTTTCCTTTGTGAGAACATGAAAAAAATACTGTAGGTGGCCTACAAAATTCCAGTTGATCACTAGGTGACTGCAAAGAGATTTAGGAAATGTTTCCTGGCTTCCTGTTACCGGGTAGTTGTGCGGCTTTTGAAATCTATATACTGTATGGCCTGCATAATTTCCCTTTGGCTAGAGAGGAGGGATCCACTTCCCATTTTAAAAGATAATAATAATCTACTTATAAAGAATTAACTTTGGAACCAAGAGGCATCTCTCAGAACACCTTGCTGATAACTGGCTGCGAAAGGTGATTGACTGTGTCAGGAAGCTAAGAGAAGGGATTGGAAGATATGAACCGGAATATATGCTTCACCACAACACAATAGCCATAAATCGTGTGATAGTCCTAGATCTTCCCAGTCACAACCCAATATTATATTACACAATTTAGTCTACCTTCTACTCAATTAGATTCACACAACGAACAAAGGTTTAATAGCAACCACAGTTGACTGGGTTCATACAATATAAAGGTAAAGATAAAGGTTTTCCCTTGCACGTAGGTGCTACTTGTTCCCGACTCTAGGGGTCAGTGCTCATCTGTTTCAAAGCCGAAGAGCCAGCGTTGTCCGAAAACATCTCTGTGGTCATGTGGCTGGCGCCGAAGGCGCACAGAATCCTGTCATACAATATACTGAGCTATAAATCTTGCTTTACAAACATTAAACATTATGGCTGCTTCAAATATGGCTTAACCCAATTTAAACCAACCATGTTAAAATGATTGCTGTTGAACAATGCTATTCTTTTGTCAGATGAAGTCCAGCACAAGTGCTGCATAATTTTCAGGGGCACTTAGGAAATGAGCTGCAGAACAACCTCCCAAGAAAATGATGACAATTTGCAAGAGATGGTTTGAAAGGAATAAGATAAACTATTTAGAGGAAAATTCTACATTTGAAAGATACCAAATTGTCTTAAAAGGATCTGTCCTGGATTCTCATTTTTCATTCCCTTCTATGACTTTATGTTTTAAATAGGTGCTAATTTATACTTACTGGGAGTTGAACTCGACTTGAGAGATTATTTACCTAATTTCAATCAATTTTTGTAGAGTGTTAGGCTACAAGTGGAAGTACAAAAGTTCAAACCTCTCTCCTGCCCTGAAGTCACTAACGTTTGCCCTCCCTCTTTCCTCTAACATTGTTGGGAGCAAACACGAGAGTCTGTACATTTCAGGAACAACCAAGCAAGTGGCATAAATGTAATAAACAATATTAAATTGAATCACTCTGTGACTCACCTTCATGCTTTCAAGTGGCAAGGACCTTTGTTCCTGTGATAAATAAGTATTGTTTATTTCACAGTGGGGGAAGATCTGACTGTTTGTATCCTGGCAACATTTAAAAATTCCTAAAACTTCCCCAAAATAAAATCTTAGGGATCATAGGGGGTATTTTCTCCATTCTTGGTTCAAGATAGGGTATTTGCAGCTGCAGCATCCCCAATGGGTGTCCACCCAACCTCTAGAAATACCACGAGACCATTTCTTATCTTCTCAAAACCATCTGTACTTCTGGCTTTTTGGTAACCTTAGCTTGTCACTAACCATGGGCCAGCCAAGAATTGATTGTATTTGGCGAACACATTTATTCTGACTTTTGAATTGACCCATTTTCTGCTTTCATAGAGTACTGAACTATAAACAAAATAAATGGCTTGGGCTTGTTAAGCCATATAAACCAACCAATCCCTTAAGGTTAAAACCAACCAACTTTCCATTCTGTAAACTATGCATTTAACTATCCTAGTTCAAATATTTGCACAAACAGATCTTGAGACAAAATTAATATGTCCATATTGCATTTGCTAATGCAAATGGATCATTCTCGTGCAGATAAAGGAGACCAATGCAACAAGCTCACTTCCTCACTGTCAAATTGATTCCTGTGGATTCCCTGCACGCTAAATACACAATAGCAGCAGACCTCATAGTATCTGTCTAATGAATTGAAAATAGCTGTCTCTTATTTACTGCAGGAATGTGTTCTGAAGTACACTGTGAATCCCCTAATATAAGGTGACCAGACGTCCCGCTTTTGGCGGGACAGTCCCGATTTTTAACAATTTGTCCCGTGGCGTTTTTAAAAAGTCCCGATTTTTTTAAAAAAATCAAGAAACACCCCCCCCCAAGTCAATGGTGTCCCGCTTTACCAATGTTAAAATCTGGTCACCTTACCCTAATAGCACATGTGTTTTTTAGAAGTCTGTACAGTATTATTTTTTTCCTAAGAAATAGTTACAGTGGTCATACAAAGATTCATCAAAAAATTCATAAAAAGATGGCACAGACATACAAGCGGTATTAGATTTACAGACCTGCTTAGGAATCACAAGCAATATTTTAGTACCAGTTCCTCACAAGATGCTTCTGTACTTGTGCAGAAGTGTCCGGGAGGGTGAGTGGAGCTTCCCGCCGCAACCACTACCAGTTTGCCCGATCCAGGGCAAACTGGCAGAAACCCACCTCTGGTACTGACTAAACAATTTATTTATGAGCTCCCCAAAAGTGACTCACTGCCAAACTGCCACGAGCAATTCTTCCAACCAGAAAGTAATAAAGGAGAATATTTGTAGCTGAGGGATGAAATGAGGGGTCCTTAGTGCTTTCTGAGCTTGGTAGTTTTCTTGCAGACATTTTATTATCCAAAGTAGGCAATATCATCTGTGCCAGTGACGATGGCACTGGTGTTGGCATCCTTGGGTTGTCTAATAAGTTTGTGAAAACAGACAGTACATGAATTTTAAAAAAAGCCCAATGGCAAAACTGTTGTTACAAACTATATAAATGATGCAGGCAAAAGAAGGGACCAGGGTGTTAAGGTGCAAAGCAAAATAACTAAGGGAAACCAAGGAATCACTCAATTAATCCCTCGGAGTGTGTAACCTTCCCCTGTTTCAGGGAAAATAGTTTTTATATCAGCCATTCCTGCTTAGTATATTTTCTTGACAGTCAGGCAGTGGTTTTCTTTTTTGGGTGTGCGCACACACATTGCCTCGCCTTCTTATTATTTAAATATATTTTTCCTGCACAGCCACATATATGTGATGCATCTATGCAGGTATTGAAAGAGGAAATCTATTTCTTCCGGAGAAAAATAAAGCTCTCTGGGTCGCAGGGCAACTTTCTCAAGTGGGAGATCTTAGACCTCATTTCAAAAGCTTTTATACCTGGAGCATGGTGATAAAAGCCAGCCTCAAAGAAGAACAGCAATGGCAGCACTCAAGGGCTGTCTCTTGGTGGAAAAGAGGTGCTGGCAGAACTGTCACTTCTGTGGTCAGCAGTTTGAGACACCAAGAATCTAGATGACCACTGGAGTTTTCTACAGATCTTTCCTATTCTAGCGGTTGCTTTTCACAGTATATGTTGAGGCTGCTACACTTGCCTGCAGCCCTCTTTCACTGGGCAGCCCCCACCAACCAACCCTCATCACATTGTCCTAGGCAAGAGCCTTTGTTCCTGGATGGGTCCCAGTGAGCCATAATGAGCTGATGATGACCATACAGGTAGTCCTCAATTTATAAAAGTTCATTTAGTGTCTATTCACAGTTACAATGACACTGAAAAAAGTGACTTATGCTTTTCATACTTATGACCATTGTAACATTCCCATGATCATCATCTTCTTCATAGCGTATTCTCGCTAGTGCAGGTTTTTTGAATAATTGAACACCACTTTGCATGGTCAGCTGTGTTTCTAGGGTTTTGCGTTTTGGACGCCTGCGAGGTTGCCGACCATTGACTTTTAGTTGGTAGGCAGTCTGGAAGGTGCTGTTCTCAGGATGTCCATACCAGTGGAGCCGGATTTCTCTCGTCTTCTCTATAATTGGAGCCACACCAAAATGTTGTCAAATGGTATCATTTGTGTTGTGGTCAAGAAGGGAGATGGCGGATATCCAATGGAGCATTCGCATTTCCGTGGCATGGAGATAGCTTTTGGTCCCTGTTGTTGCTGCCCAGCATTCAGTGCCATACAGTGCAACAGGGCGGATGGTTGTCTTGTTGGTTGTCTCAACATCCCCATGATCATGTGATCAAAATTAAGACACTTGGCAACTGACTCATATTTATGACAGTTAAAATGTCCCAGGGTTATGTGATCACCTTTTCAGACCTTCTAACAAGCAAAGTCAATGGGGAAGCAAGATTCACTTAAGAACTGCATTACTAATTTAACAACTGCAGTGATTCACTTAGCAACTG